ACACAGATATTCTTTGTGCCAACGCTTCCAAAATTGTTGAACCATTTTTTGAATATGTTGCCATCTAGTGAGATGGGAAACTTCAATGTAATTTGGTTCAGGAATGCTTGTTAATGATCTACCAATAAGAAAATGACCAGGCGTTAATGCTGACAAGTCATTTGGATCATTAGACAAACTTGTTAAAGGTCGCGAATTAAGACAAGCTTCTATTTGTGTGAGAAATGTTTCAAATTCTTCATATGTCAATCTCGCCTCACCAACTACTCGTTTTAAATGGTATTTTGTTGATTTTATGCCAGCTTCCCAGAGTCCACCCATATGTGGCGCACCTGGAACGTTTAGATGCCATTTAATGCCATTATCAACCAAATATCTGCTAACATTTTGGTTATAAGTTGCAGACCTAGCAAGCCTTTCAAATTCCATCAGTTTGCGTTTTGCTCCAACAAAATTGGAACCACAATCGCTATATATATCACTGCTTTTGCCTCTGCGGGAAATGAACCTCTTAAGAGCTGCAATAAAAGCATCTGCTGAAAGATCAGTCACTAATTCTAGGTGAATAGCTCTTGTCGTAAAACAAACAAATAGAGCTATATATGCCTTGAATGACCTAGAGCCTCGACCCTTATTTGCTTTAATTTGAAAAGGACCTGCGTAATCCACTCCACAGCGCAAAAACGCAGGAGCAGGCGAAACGCGACTACTAGACGGCAAATCGCTCATCAATTGATTAGTGACAGATGCTCTAATTTTGCAACACTTTATATTATACATTTCCTAACTAAATCTCTGATAACAGCTCTACCATTTATGATCCAATATTGTTCTTGAATGCAAGATTGCATAAGTTGTGGACCTGCATGCAAAAGTCTTTCATGGTAATGTCTAACAATGAGATGAGTTAAAATGTGCTGCTTCTTTGGAAGCAAAATTGGATGCCTAAAACCATATGCAAGGTTTGCATGTCGCAAGCGACCGCCCACCCTGAGAATACCTAAATTATCTAAAAATGGATTCAAAGATAAAATTTTGCTTGTACCAGATAATGATTGATTTCTGCCTAAAGTGTTAATTTCATTCTTAAATTCAACATATTGCATTAATTTAATTAACACATGCATAGCTTTAGTTAATTCACTTGTTTTTAGAAATCCACTTACCTGATCTTCTGAATTTTTACAGTTATTTACAAACCTCAGACATAATGCTACAACACGTTTAAGTTTAGTGAGAGAGGAATATTTATAAAATAAATCATGAGCGTCTGTCAAGTGACTGGCAGCAGTTGTAGACTGTAAAGCACATCTTTGCTCTGGCACAGAATCATTCAGTAGTGGTGCAGATAATGCTTGCTGAAAAGGAAATAAATTATACAATAAATCTGGACCACGTAACCACAATGAAGTAACCAGTGCAGATGATGACACACCACGCGTTGCAAGATCAGCAGGATTAGCATTTCCACTCACATGATGCCACTGGACAGGAGAGGATAAAGTCTGGATTTTTGCTACTCTGTTGGCGACGAAGGTCTTCCATCGGCTTGCATGAGATCTTATCCAGGCTAATACAATAGTGGAATCAGTATGAAAATAAACTTGCGATATAGGAGTATTTAAAGCCCTACAGGTGAAATCCATTAATTTAGTCAACAGTAATGCTCCACAAAGTTCCAATCGGGGAAGTGATATGGTTTTTTAGTGGTGCAACTCTTGTTTTGGTTATCACTAACTGAACATTAATTTGTCCAGTATCTAACACAGAACGATAATAAATTGCAGCGGCGTAGGCCTTCTCTGAGGCGTCACAAAACCCGTGCAGTTGAAACTGGTTATCTGATTCAACCAACAAGAATCGTGAAATTTTGATACTTTTAATGAAATAACAAATCTTCTGTAAGTTGTTTCCACTCACATTCAATATCTGGAGGAACCTTTTCATCCCACTGAAACTGATGTTTCCACAATCTTTGCATAATCAATTTATACCGAACCGTGATCGGTGCCAACCATCCAAGAGGGTCAAAGGTCTTTGCGATTATTGAAAGTAATGTTCGTTTGGTTAAGACTTCAGGATATGATGAATTGACTTTGAATAAAAACATATCTGAAGCTGGATGCCACAGGATACCTAACGTTTTTACAGTATCATCATTGTCTATGTTCAAAGAAACATTTGATAAGCACAAATCTGGATTAATTGAATTCAAGACTTCTTTGCTGTTAGAAGCCCATTTTCTTAGAATAAATCCTGCACGTGACAACATCTGATTCAATTGCATTTGTAATTCTATAGCTTCAGTAACTGAATTGGCTCCGGACATCAAATCATCAACGTAGAAGTCCCTAAGACATGTCTTGGAAGCCAAAGGAAAATTAGTTGCTTCATCTATGGCTAACTGCTGTAAACATCTTACCGCAAGGTACGAAGCTGATGCAGTACCGTAAGCAATCCTAGTTAATCGAAAATCCTGAATTGGTTTATAAAGTGAATCGCGCCAGACTATTCTCTGAAAGTCTGCATCTTTTAGTATAATTTGTCTGTACATTTTCTCTATATCTGCAGTTATAGCTATTCTGTGAATTCTGAAACGAATAATTAATGTTGTCAGATCAGTCTGCAACTGTGGACCAACCATCAATTTCTCATTAAGAGAAATACCGCTAGAAGATTTTGCAGAACCATCAAATACGACTCGAAATTTATCACCATTTTTATCCGGAACTGAATGGTGCGGAAGGTAAAAACTAGAATTAGCTGGAACATCAATTTCATTTTCTGGAATCAATTCCATATGACCAAGTTGTTGATAGTCCTCCATAAATTTGTGATATTGACTGGAAAGAGATTTATTCTTAATAAATTGACGTTCAATGCTTTGTAAACGATGTACAGCAACATCCCTTGATGACCCAAGTTCATTTCCCGATCTACGAAATGGAAACTTAACAACAAATCTACCTGTTGAATCACGAGAAAAATTCCGCTTGAAATGATTTTCACATTCAATTTCCTCTTCTGTGTAATGCTTTATCTCCGAAATTTCTTCCAATTTCTTCCAATTTCCAAAATTTTTCAAGCTGGAGCTGAACATTGGTACAACTAGCATGATTCGATACAATTGTCTGCGATACACTTTTAGTCTTTCCGATAATGACCCAGCCGAATATTGATTCCAAGGCTGTTAACGAATGACCCGGAACAGTTAAACGTCCATGAAGCATTATCTCGCCAAATACATCTGCGCCCCAAAAGAATATCTATTGGGCCAGGCTGGAAACAATTTGTATCTGCCAACCACAAATGTTTGAAAGATGTCAAAACAGATCTATCAACTTGATATTGAGGGAAGGTCACACGTGATCTTGGGTATAATTAATGCATTAACTGAAATGCTTGCGTTTTTATAAAATGGAGATGTTACTTGTAATTGAACTGAACCTGAAACCTTTCCAATTTTTTGCGAGCTCAGGCCATTTACACTTATGTTTGCACTAGTGCGCTTTAGCTGCAGTAAATTTACACAGTGCTCTCGAATAAATGAGCCCTGGCTACCTGAATCAATTAGCATCCTGCATTTTTGTAAATCGCCATTAATATCTTTAACATAAACAACCGCAGTAGGCAATAAAACTGCTTGCGCAACAGGCACCGTGGCGTTATTGCTACTAATAGCAGAAGTTCCGTGTTCCATGGGTATATGACATTTTTCATCATTTGAATTTTTCGAACATAACACTGTATTATGTGGCTTTGAACAATATTTACACATTCCTGCACGACATTTAAAAATGGGATGCGTTTTACTATCTTTCATCTTTCAAACAATTAGCACATAATTTATTCCTTTTAATAATATCCCATTTTTCTTTGATAGGGAGTTCTAAAAAACTATCACATTTAAATAACTGAGAATGAGAATTACTCTTACAATGAACGCACACATTAGCCACAAGTTGGGACGAAAAAGCGTATCTGCTACCTGAACCGCGAGTTTTTAATTTCAGAAGGCAAAATTGACTTCTCCCTCTGGCACTTCTCGCCAAAGAGGCAATAGCATTCGCTCTGTTTAAAATAAAACGCTTGAATTCAGCGAAAGCAGAAATTTTCTTGTTCGAATGCTCTATCGTCCACTCTTTTAGTGTTTCATGATCAAGTTTCCCTTTTAACAGAAAAATAATCATAGTATCCCAATGCTCTACCGGCTGTTTAAGGATTTTTAATGTATCAATACACTGTTGTGTTGTATCAATTAATCTCCGCAAACCTGAAGCTGATTCATGTTTTAGAACAGGTTGTGAAGTTAATTTATTTAATGCTGCGTTTATTATTTCTATTTCGTTTTCATAACGCTCAGTAAGCGCTTCCCATGCCTTTTCATAATTCGCGTTTGAAATTTGAACTGATTGTAGTAAAACAGCAGCTTCAGAAAAGCTTAAGATATTGCAATTTTTGACTGTCACTTAATGTACTATTATTTCCAACACTGGCAAGAAATAAATCCCTAAATGATATCCAGTCAACATAATTAGAAGTAAACACTGGCAATTCCACGCGAGGAAGTTTCAAGCCGTTTGCATTAGCATTTATTATATCTTTGCCTGAATTTCTAAGTTTTCTTGATTCTTCCTTTAAAGTAATTTTTAATGCATCTAATTTGGAAAATAATTCATTCATTTCTATTTCATATTTACTAAACTCTGCGTCAGAACAAGTACCAAGAATGTTATCGTTTAAACAGTTCACTTCAACACTTAATGCACCAACATCATTTTCGTACACTTCAATGGCAGAAAAAGAATTTTCTTGATTTTGTAAACTATTTACTTGTGAAATTAAACGAGTCAACTTACCGTTAATGATTCGCCTTTGCTTTAAAATCAACTCCATGTTCCTGCCGCTGTTTTCACAATCCAGACAAAATATAAATCCGTTTTCCTGCACGAAATGTCCTTCTATACCAGAACGTTAAAAATTGTCTTGACACATCATCCAAAGAAATGCGCTGGCTCACGACGGACCATGTTAGCGGATGGAAAGTAGACTCAAACGTTCGTTATTGCGTTTATTAGACTGTGTGAAGAACAAGTTCGTACAATAGATATACAAGTAGTTCGGCGCTCGCAAGCGCCCTCTTGCAGGGAACAAATCAAAATTTACATAAGGCGCGAACAAGTTCTATGAAGACTATGGGCAGTCATACGTAATATAAATAACTTTTAAAGTAATTAATAATTTGAGATTGGTTAATAATTGGTTAATAATAATTTGAGAAACATAATTAATTAAGATATAAAGATTAACTATCTATAAGGTTTTGATACAAAAGTTACAAGACAAAGAGTTTTTGTCTTGTAACTTTCAGTTTAAACACTCAGTTTTTGTTACAAAGAGCAGAGAATGTGATTCGAGTTTGTAAAATGAGTTCCGTAGCTGCCATTTTTGTCTTTTGATACTATTGAGTTATAGCATTTAATTCAACCAAATCCATTCTAGATATTACGTCAAGTGAAGTAGAATTTCATGATCTGATGTTTACGTGTATGCTGCCAGTGAGACTAATTAGGTCTTAGGCTTTTATTTGCGAGGCGCAGCAAGTATAGTAACGTTGACTGCCTTGCTGATAGTTTCGCGCTCGAATCTCGGAGGAGGCATGAATAATTATAAGCGTAGATTGTCTGTGCAGCAAAGCGGACTCAAAATACAGGTGAACCGAAAGTCTTATCGAGAGGAATGGGATCCCACGGACCTCTCTCAGGGATGTTTTCGTTCTACGTTCGGAGGAACTGGTGCAACGGGACAATATACCTGTACAACCAATGATGAAATTTTGGTGACCAGCCCACTTTTGTCTCTGCCTGCTTAGGTTCATAAATACGAATAATGCAAAAGTATTGTTTTCTTCTTAACAGGATGAAGCGCATAGACACTTTGATACAAAACATTTCTTTTATTTGTTGTGATTGGTCATGTAAAGAGGATCATATGCTACTATAACGTTGGATATCTGATGTAAAGGAAACTCCAGGGAGTATTGTAAAATCTTCTGATCTGCGTCCAATAATATACAGGGTATTTCGAAACTCATGGGCAAAAATTTAAGGGGTGTTACAAATGCGTATTAGAAATGCGTTCACGAGTAAAGGTGCGTTTATCCGTGAATAACACATGTGCACTGAAATCAGGCTTCGCTTCTAGCTGTTTTAAAAACCAATGTGCAAACTCGACACGTGACACAAACTCTGCAGTTATCAAGACTTGCACTTTCTGTACATGGTTAGATGTGTAATCCTTTGTCTCGTAATTCTCGCCAGGTGGGAGGGGCAGATATACGGCACGGGAAACCTCCCCCATGTTAATATCCGCACGATGTTCCACTCTTTACATAATGTCAACTACAACTTGTGGCGTCCGCACACTCTTGCCACGCCCTGTATCATGCATGCCGCTGAAAAAGTATCTCGTCGCATGCAAACATTCATGCAGATTCTTCGTTATTTAATTTCTTTAATTATAATTCAGGCCTCTGATTTTTGTTGGCAACAATCTGAAAAATGAAACGCCATTTATAGTGAATGAACCCAAAATGCCAAAACGAAATTAATAGCCCATCTGGGCTAAAAATAAACAAATGATTAGCTAAAAATTAATTAATAACAGCGGATTCTTAAAAATTAAAACTGCTATCAAGCTCCCAGATGTTTATCAGTATGAATTTTCATTAAAACGTTATTAAAAAGCTTATATTTATGTATATTTAATTGATTATTAAAATTTTTATTTACGTAGCATTTTAGAATTTTTCTTTTGTAAACTAAATAACAAAATAAAACTTGTGGAGACATTAGGTATTTTGTTGGAAGCAGGAAAGATGAAAAAATTAGCAATGCCTTCGCCGGGAATCGAACCACGGACCTTTGGAATACCGGACCAGCGTGCAGAACCACTACACCACGAATTCACGCTAGGCGGGAAAAATACCTTATATACTTCCCCTTTTAAAGGGCAACTGGGGTTTTTAGGGGACCCAGTCGCCAAACCCTCTTTGTGGAGATTTATCATCCACGACCCTTTTAGTTCGGGCACCACTGTAGAGACACTAGGTAAATTGGAAAAGTCAGAGAGATGAAAAATTAGCAACTCCTTCGCCGCGAATTGAACACGGACCTCTGAATACCGGCTTAGCGTGCTGACCACTACACCACGAAGGCACGCTAGGAAGACGGGAGAAATATCTTATAAACTACATCTGGAATTAAATACAAAATCTTATTTATGTTAGTTAATGATTTTCCAACTTCTGTTACCTCTCTAATCTATGACAGAAAATAAAAATCATGATGTAATGCGTTTATTTAGACCTTGTTTTATTTTTCAGCAACCATGAACCAGCATCACTCAGCAAATTAAGACAATAAAAATAAAGCAGTGTTAATCAAATTAAAATAACGCATTTTCTTAAAGACACAGGGGTTGAGATTTTGCACCTGGTAGCAATTTATTATGAGTGCTAAAAAGAAACTTTTCTTTCAAGCATCTAAGTGATCCCCAAACAATATTTCCCATTTATTATAATTTTAAATCCCCATTACATTTTAGTTGCAATGATGTAAATAGAAGCGGGATTCATTTTAAGCTTCCTAAAAATCTGAAATTGCTCCATTAAGGTGAACTAATTAATTTTTGCCTTGCGAAAACTCCCGAGTACTTTCCAGTAAACAACACGCTTTTGTATTCCATTCTAAACTCTTTCTTTTTACAACAATATATTTCTACGCAGTTTATTCATCATAACAGAATTAGTAGTTCCATTAGTTCTGCTGTAAGAATTCGGGTAAATCCAAACTTAAAATTAGTATGTGCTTCCGATAAGATAAGCATAGTATAGTATAGTTATGATAAAATGAGCAGTGGTAAAATTAATAGTTTGGATCAGTTGAAAGGATTTTATGTTTAACTAACGTTTATTCTATTTTAAAACTCTGCTATCCTCTCTTATTTTCCATTCCTTTCTCTTGTTTTCCATTTATTTTCCTTTTCCATTAAACGCGAACAGATTTGATTATGCAAACTTTTAAGTATTTAAGACATGGCTTTTAGCCAAAACGGAAAATTAGAGAGAGACTTCTTGCTACTTTACCACGTGCGTGCTTTTCAGTCAGTTCCCGTGTGCCTTTATGGTCATGACTTAGTGTTGTAAGGACATTAGGTATTTTTTGGAAGCAGGAGAGATGAAAAATATGCAACGCTTTCGCCGGGAATCGAAACACGGACTTCTGAAATACGCTCCCAACGTGCAGACCACTACACCACGAAGGCATGCCAAGAAAGTGGTAGAAATATCTTATAGTGTCTTAGAATTATATCTTTATGTCTTTAAGACCATTTAGAACAGAACTTATTTCTCTTTGATACTTGAAAACGTATTGTAGTTTCCCGCATTTTACTCACTACATACGTAAAATTTAAAAGGTCAATCTTCCCGTTACTAGTCTTTGTAAAGTATATGAGTTTAGTTCTTATTTAATTTAGTTAGCGTCTTCTTATTTTTTTTAAGTTTAAGACTATAAGGTCTTTGTATCCAGAAGTGCGGGATCGGCTTTATCTGTGAGAAATAAAGGGTAATTTAACCCTTCCCATTTTTGTCGTATCTTCTACACTCACACCAACATAGTTTTAAGTAAACTCCCTGTTCCTACTCAGGACTTCGGTGATGTTCCTAAAGGCTATTAGAAGAAGCAGAAGTCCTGACAGTGGAGCCCGAACTAAAAGGGTTGTGGATGATGATTCTCTACACCGAGAATTTTGCAATTGAGACCCCTAAACCCCCAGTCGCCCTTTAAAAGGGGGAGTATATAAGGTTTCGCCTTCTTTAAATCTAATCACCCTTAATTGCATCTGCTGTTGATGTAAAACATTTATATGAGTATAATATAATTATTACAATTATGTGAGCTGAAATGCTTCAGGTTCCATAGCTTAAAATAATAAATAATTTCCCATAAAATCTAAGAGGCAGATAAAATGTGGTTATCATCATCCCTAGTCGATTATTATAATACGTCCTTTTTTCTCGTAGCATACCTTAAGTTTACACGCTAGTAGTTTTTCTACTCGTGCTTTAAAACAGATTGCTATATTTGGACACATTCAGCTTATGGCAAGTTGTCAGAATTAAATTATACTTTTGCATGCTGGTATTTAGAAGCACAATACGTTATTGATTAAGATGCATTACATTAAATGTTTCATTTTGTTACCCCAATAAAAAACATACAATTAGCATTTTAAGATTGTCAGGAGATGTATGTCTTCTCAATTGTTTCGGGAACATACTGTGTCCTGAATAAGAAACACTTAACTTACTAAAATTCTGTTCCAGATTGTGTGGAATAGACGACACAAGCAGGAAGGGTATATGAAACCCTTTATTTTCAAAAATTTAACAGGTACTCCCGAACTTCGGGATACGGAGACCAACCACTTGTAGTCTGAACGTAAGAATATAAAACTACTAACTAAAATTCTAACTACAAGCTAACTTTGAATTAGTATACAAATGCCTAGCATTAAGACTGGCCTTTATTTAAAAGGGTACGTATGTAGTACGCCGAGCTTCTGAAACTACAATACGTTTTCAAATATCAAGAGGGCTAAACCTCTGGCCTTAAAGGCAAACAGCAACTGAGTGAAAACTCGTAAAACTGCAGTGGCAAGCGGCTTGCTTCCTAAATCTCGTTCTCTCTCCCAGTTTTGTCTAAAGCCACAACTTAAATACTTGGGCGTTAGCAAGAGGAATTTGCATAAACAAGTTAAAGCATTTAATTCTGGCCGGAAGTAGAAACCAAGAAGTGATAGTACAGTTGTTTAAATGTTAGTGAAACTTAGGATCCTTACAAGATGAATGAATAAAATTTCTGAAGTTGTGAATGTTGTCTACATCTTTTAATTTGTCTTAAAACTGTCATCTATGCAATACGGAACAAAACTGTTTTAGCTACTATTCATAACTGAACAATAAAAAATTATGTATTTCGCGTCTTGAATGTTTTTTTCAATTTTTTATGTTTTGCAGGTTTTCCCATTCCCGTAGTAACGTGGCGAAAAGGATCAAGGATTTTACCAGGTTCTATCACTATTGACGAACACGGGGTTGTGAAGAATGAACTAAGATTTAATCATTTGAGAAAAGAAGATTTGCTGACGGTTCTCACCTGTCAAGCATCCAACAATAATGTAACAGGCCCTATTCACACGTCTGTGACACTAGACCTTAATTGTAAGTATAGTTGCTTAACTTATTTATTTTTATAATAAGCGTTTTAACTTTTCCTGGTGTTTAGTCTCACTGGAAATAGAATTAAGTCTATCATTAAAAATTTGAAACGAAATAGTATATCAAGACCTATTTTACGTTCTAATGCACGTAAAGTAATGAAGATACATTAGGGGTTTTAACATAAAGATAACAGAACATAGCATACATAAACATAAATTCATTGCTTGTTTACTCTGTCGGAACAATTTTAGGCTGTTCAAAGTGTATTTCTTGATACTTTCGATAACTGTAAATGGACAAATTGCGGTTATCCTTTTCGCATGCATTTTAGAGACTGTTAGCCATGTAGTCAACTATTCAATCCACAAGGAACAGACAAACAACTCGATAGGGTTTGTCATTTTCTGCTTCGTATTAAGTATCAAATTTCAAAACTCCATAATCAACTAAATTTCTTTCAACCTTACTTAATGCAGTGAATACATGGAACATATATCTGTAGGCTGTAACCCAACCCACAGGATTTTTTTTTTTTTTTTTTTTTTTTTTCCACAGGAGTTTTTCAATTGGGCTCCACTAATCAATTTTCGTTTCACCAACTCAAACTTATTTAATCGTTAATTAGTATTATCATGAGAAATAATAATAATGCAAAATATTTTAATAAAAAAATCTGAAAGCTTTCAGATTTTCTATTACGCCCAAACGGAAGTTTTTTTTAACGTTCTGTGTGTTACCTTTGTTTATTAAATATCATGTTCTTTGCACTGAAACCACACGGAGATCAATTCAACAGTAATATAACAAAATACTTTAAAACAGCGTATCTTCAGAGTTTCCGATATACAGTCTTGCGCTCAGGATGTAGAGATATAAACCACTTAAACCACATAAAATTCAATTCAACAGCAATATCACAAAATATTTAAAGACAGTATATCTTTAGAATTCCCGCGAGCTGAAGATAAAAATCTTTCTTTTTCGTACAGTGCTACCAGTACTCATTTTGAAATCGTTAAATTTTTGAACCAAAAATTCGTAAAAGATTAACAAAATATGAAATAGATAACAAAACAAATTTGAAATTTAAAATTCCGGCTTATGGCTGTCCATATTCTGGTGGAGGACTGCCTTATTCAAAATTTGATGGGTCTAGGTACCTTCTCTGTTTGACAACGTAATAAATATACATATATTCATGCAGATTCTTAATTATATAATTTCTTTAAATATACTATGAGGCGATAATTCTTGCTGGCAAGAATTTAAAAAGTGATACGCCGTTTATAGTGAACTACTCAAAATGCCGTTTTGAGAAATGCCTCTTCTCGGCTAAAGCTCCTTTAGGCTAACAAAATTGTACTATTTATCAGTATTATATGGAGATCAGTACTATTACGAGAAATAATTACGAGTGTAATCAGTATTATTACGGAAAAAATGGAAATGAAACAATGTACATTTGTTATGAAATCGTAACACCAGACGACTGATGTAACCAACACATTGCTTGTACGCAAGCAAGCAAAATGTTGAATTTAAAAAAAAAAAAAAAAAAAAAAAAAAAAACTATATTAAAGAAAACGAAAATCTAAAAGGTTTCACATTTTAAATTAAATAACTTAATAATAGCCATTGATTAAATAACGGGAATATTTGTTTTTCTTTGCTACTGCAGGAGATTTAAATACGTGAGACTGTTGCTAATTTCAATTCTCTTGTGATGTTTTTTATTCTCATTAGAAAATATAATTTTTTACACCACTATAAAATCCCAATTAGTCTAGAAACTTGGTAAAGAGGCAGAACTAATTGGAACATATACTGAGAAAGTTTCTACACAAACCGTATTTCAAAGTTGTTTGAAATCCCGATTATTTAAAATAGATTGAGCTTTGCCAAGAGTTGAGTAAATTCATTACTGAGTTCCAATAAATTGTAGCACCTTACTGTCTAACTACCAGTCTACATTTTCTGAAATATTATACTTGCAAGGGGAGAAATTGTTAAGTCAACCTTTTATTAATTATATTAGAAAATGACTTTTCATTGTTACAGTATAGTGTTTTTATTTATTTATTTTTTTTTATGTTTTTATTGTTTTTGTTTTTATTAGTCTAAAGGGGCAGTTTGCCAAGAAGGGCTATAAATTTCTTTTTGGCATTTTGCTTCAATTCACTGTAAACAGCGAATCATTTTTTTAAATTGTTGCCACCAAATATTAGCGCCATGTATTATATTTAAAGAAATTAAATAATGAAGAATCTGCATGAATGCATGTGTGTTTCTCGCATTGGGGAAAAACAACGGAACCTATAGCCATCAAATTTTGAATAACGTAATCCTCTAGCAAGATAGATTCATCAGTAAGCCCAAATTTGTAATTTGCTTTATTATCTGTTTCATATATTGTAAACCTCTGACGGATTTTTGATTAAAAACTCAACGATTTCAAAGCGACCAATGGCAACAGTGTATGAAAAAAAAAAAGAACATTTTTATCTCCAGCCCGCGAGACTGTGTATCAGAAATTCTAAAGATAGGCTCATCCTAAGATTATTTTGAGATATTGCTGTTGAATTGAATTTTATGGTTTAAGTGCGAAGAACATGATATTTAATAAATAAAGGTGTAAGGATTATGTTAATTTTATTAACAGTTAAATTTTAAGTTAAAGTTCCTTTCCTGTCAAATTCTTAACTTCAACTTACTACTTCCGGCCAGAACTTAGTTTTGGAATTTGCTGAATATTTAATGAGAAGGAGCGGTATTTAAACCACGGAGTTACTTACTGAGACAGAGAGAGAATCAGAGTTTCTGGACTACGCGCGTCTGCCTTTTTGGCCGCTCTCTCTCTCAAAGCTGTTTTTACGCTCGGCCGTACTCAGGCCCTTGCTAAGCTTCGTAGTAAAATAAGTGAAGGGGCCAACTCTAATTGAACCTTGATAGCTTTGGCTATACTTATTTAGTTAATCTTAGTTATAGTTTAATTCTTAGTCTTTTAAGTTCAAGTCCAAAGTGCGGGCTTTACTTGTACATTCCCAGGCGGAGTTTTGTTAAATCTTATCGAAATAATAAAGGGTTAGTTACCCTTCTCTCTTGTTGTTTCCTGTCATCGAACTCTAGCGATTATTCGCTTATCAGTTCTTAGGTTCCTCACTTCCAACATTAACTTAGAATTCCAAAGTGAGGTACCTTACAAAGGTAACGCACAAAACGTTACAAAAAACTCCCCTTTGGGCGTAATCTGAAAGCTTACAGATTTTTATATGTTTATTTTATAAAATTTTTTAGCATATTTATATTGTGCTACATATTCTTCATGAGTTAAACGTAAATTCTTTTTAGCCCAAAGATGCATCAGACCCAAAGGGCTATTAGTCTTAAAACAGCATTTTGCGTCGTTTCACTTTCTGCGTTAATTCACTTTTCAAACTGTTAGCATCAAATATCATTGCCATGCATTATATTTAAAGAAACCAAGTAATGTAGAATCTGCATGAATCTTTCTCGCATTATGAAATAACAAAGCTCCTAGAACCATCAAATTTTGAATAACGTAGCCTCTAACCGAATATGGGAACTTAGAAGCAGAAATTTTGAATTTCGAATTTGTTTTCTTATCTATTTAAAATTATGCAAACCTTTAACGAATTTTTGATTAATAAACTCAACGATTTCAAGGCGAACAATGGCAACACTGTACAGGAAAAAATATTTTTATCTCCAGCGCGCGAGTCTGTATCGGAAGTTCTAAGGACATGCTTTTGTGCAGTTTTTAAATATTTTGTGATATTGTTGAATTTTATGTGGTTTAAGTGCGAAGAACATGAAATTTAATAAGTAAAGGTAACATCAATAAAGGTAACAATTTCTAACCATTAAGAAAATGCTCTTTCGGGTGTAACATAAAATCTAAAAACATTTTTATATTTTTTACTGAGCATCTAAATGTATTAGGTTAAAACTGCTCACGGAACAAACACGAATTTTTGTGTGTTGCTTTTCTTGTATTTCTTCTGAATTAATTAATAGCTATTTTAATTGCTTTTTCCCTTGTAAACTACCGAGTGCCACGTTGGCAAACTACTAGGAGAAATAAAAAGCGTTTTAAACATCTTCTCTCCTTCCTCCCCCCTTTTTTCGTTCGTTTAAAAGAAACTCTTGCCAGGCTTACTAAATTTCACTTTTCTTCAAATAGTAGAAAAAAAGCGTTAATTCTCGTTCTTAAGAGCACAAAACTGAAGTTTTTATATATTCAGGCAAACAAAATCACCCTGATGTCGTTTCCATTCAATTTGTGAAAAAACAAACAAAATATTAATTTTTATTTACATTATCCTAATAATCATGAAGTTCGGATTACTCAAGAAAATGGAATATTCCTGGAAATGCCCAGTATAATACAGTGGTGTAACTTCTGGCAGCAAATTAAGAGTTTCTGCAGATTAAAATAATAATAATAATAATGAAAATCTGAAAGGTTACAGATTTTAAATTACGTCCCAGGGGGCGTTTTTTAATCTTTTGTGTGTTACCTATTTGTGTGTTATTAAATATCATGTTCAACGTCAATATCGCAATTTAATTTTAAAATGAGCATATCTTTAGAATTTCCGATACAGAATCTCGAGAGCTGGAGATAAATATGTCTCTTTTTTTCGTACAGTGTTGCCATTGTTGGCTTTGAAATCGTCTAGTTTCTTAATGAAAAATTCATTGAAGTGTTACAAAATCTCAAATCGATAATAAAACAAATTTCAAATTTTGGCTTTTCAAAACTGGAAAAATTGAAAAAAAAATTTCAATTTTCAAAATTGGATGGCTCTATGTACCGTTGTTTTATCACAATGCGAGAAACATTCATTTATGCAGATTCTTCATTATTTAATTTTATCAAATATAATATCGGGTGATAGTGTTTTGTGGCAATGATTTAAAAAGGTGATACAGCCTTTTAAAGTTTTCAAAGTAAAATCGCAAAACGAAAACAATAGTCC